AGGCTCTGAGCCATCAGCCCAGAGCCTGACGCGGGGCTCGAACTCACGGAGCGCGAGATCGTGACCTGGCTGAAGTCGGACGCTTAACTGACTGCGCCACCCAGGCGCCCCTGAATTTCCTTCCTTTTTAAAGGCTGAATAATATTCCGTTGTATGTATATATAATTGTTGTTTATCTATTCATCTGTCAATGGACACTTGGGTTGTAGAAACCTTTTAGCTACTGTGAATAATGCTGCTATGCACATGGGTCTCCAAGTATCTCTTTGAGACCCTGCTTTCAATTCTTTGGGGCACATACCCAAGAGTGGAATTGCTGGATCGTGTGATAATTCTATTTTTAATTTTTCGAGGAACTACTGTACTGTTTTGCGTAGTACCTGTATCATTTTACATTCTCACCAGCAGTACACGAGTGTTCCGATCTCTCCACATATTCGCCAACACTTGTTATTTTCTGTTCTGTAATTGCCACCCTGATGAGTGTGACTATATTATTTTTAAGTCTCTGTGTCATTAATTTTTAGCCTGATCATTTTTACTTTCTTCCCTCTCATTTCTTCACTTTTGCCCTCGTGTTCATTTTTCCAACTTCTTGAGGAGAAAGCTTGGTTGGTTTATCTTAAAGTTTGTTGTGTTTTGCTAAATGATAAGAAGAACAATGGAACGAGATGACAGTCATCATAAACACATTTTTGCACCCGATAACACACCTCAAAAATATATCAAGCACAATGGACAGAAATGTAGGAACAGAGAAATTAATTATAGTTGATCTTAACACACCCCTTTCAGTAACTGATAGATTAAACAGAGATATATAAGCAGAGATACTGAATTATAGTTAATAAACTCAAGATATTAGATAAATCCAAAAGTAAAGGACAAACAGTGAAGATCCCTGGAGAGAGTAAAAATGGGAAGAGTGCCAAGGAGAACTTTTAAATTTTACCTGGATACTTCTGTATTGTTTGGCTTTTGTAGACTGAAATTTATTTGTGTATCATTTGTATACTTCAAAGAACAATAAGAGACAAAAGGCAAAAAAGCAATAGTGGTTCAACAGGCTGGCTCACATTTTTCCAGCACAATAGTCAACGCCTTGATGAAATCAAAATATGTAGGGAGGGGCACCTGGCTGGCCCAGTCAGAAGAGCCTGTGGCTGCCTATCTCTGGGACATGAGTTCAAGCCCCATGTTGGGTGCGGAGATTACTTAACTAAATAAACATAAAAAATACATAGGGATTATTATCGTTCCCAGGTTATAAGACTCATTTACAAAGTAGGAAATAAAAACAACGTGGGAAAATATGTGCGGTAAGTACTCAAGGAGTATATGTGGGTACCTACAAACACTTAGGGATGAAGTATATTGCCTTGCTGAACTGCAAAAGCAACTCACAGTAGGTCAGAGCACTGGTGTGCAGGTTTCAATTCCCATCTAACAAGGCTCCTTAGTAGCCAGTTTGAAAGAATATGTCAGTCAACTTTGGAAGAGTAAGAAAAGAAGGGTCATGGAGGCAAATCCGATCATGCTCACCCCAGCACCGTTCAAAAAAGATAGAACTTTGCCCAACGTTATTTGAGTATTTCTTTTTTTTTTCAATGTTTTTTATTTATTTTTGGGACAGAGAGAGACAGAGCATGAACGGGGGAGGGGCAGAGAGAGAGGGAGACACAGAATCGGAAACAGGCTCCAGGCTCTGAGCCATCAGCCCAGAGCCCGACGCGGGGCTCGAACTCCCGGACCGCGAGATTGTGACCTGGCTGAAGTCGGACACTTAACCGACTGCGCCACCCAGGCGCCCCCATTTGGGTATTTCTATTGATGTGAACGAAACTAACCCCCTTAGCTGGGTGCTAGTAGGCAATTAATTCATTACTTTTCTCAGCTTCCCTTGTTCAGAGACCAAGCATCAAACATCTTTCTGGCTCCCAGGCAGGTCTGTCTATATGATTTGAGGATACTGATGATGTTGAAAGCAAGAAGTCAGTCCCTCCAACATATGATTTCCAATGGTAAGTCAATGATGCGGATTCGGATCACATTTTGTCTTCCCAAATACCTAGACTATAGAGAGAGACTATAGAGTGAATTATTTCCCGTCTGCGTGAACTATTCTTTAAAAATTGGTATTCTGGCGCTTACTTTAGGCTGTTGTGTTTTAGCTGGCAACGTCAAGAGCACATTTCTCATCCTGGAAAGTAAAAAGCCAGATATAATTGTTTTCCATGATGACACAGCATATATGCCACTTCCAGATGGCCGTATGTTCTCCACAATTTGTTTTGCTTGAATCAACTCTGGCCATTGTGATCATCAGTTTCCTTTCTCAGAGCTCACATACATTCTGTTTAATAATCCAGTTTAAAATTTTCCTCCGGGGCACCTGGGTGGCTCAGTCAGTTGAGCATCCTACTTCGGCTTAGGTCATGATCTCGCTGTTTGTGGGTTCTCGCTCCGGGTCAGGCTCAGTGTTGACAGCTTGGAGCCTGCTTCAGACTCTGTGTCTCCCTCTCTTCTCTCTGCCCCTCCCCACCGCTTGTGCACACACTCTCTCTCTCTCTCTCTCAAAAATAAGTAAACGTTAGAAATTATAAAATAAAATTTTCCTAGCAAGCAACTAGAAACTGATTTGAGCTCCTAGAATTTGTCTTTTTCCCCCTTTTGAATAAAGTATTTACCTATCTGCAGTTATCTGACACCTCCTTATAATTATGATCTCTCCAAGAATAGTCAAGGTAGTTCTGTAAACAGCCCCTTCCTTCCGTATCATATGTGCAACTCAAACAGAAAAGAAAGGACAAGAAAAAAGTGCAAAGGTCAAATTCTCTTAAATAATTATCAATTTACTCATTCATCCATCCATCCTCTTAAGAAACATTTGCAAATTTCTGGAAGGATCATGCTATATAGCATTTGGAGGAAATAATACACAGTGTTCTTGCCCAGGGTTAGAAAACGGAGGGTGGGAGGAGTGCATGGTAGATGATATCTACAACAGGAAATAACTAGCAAACTAAAACAAGTCCGTTACAATATCACATTTCCACCTTGGATGCCAAATGCTTGGAGAACTTCTGTTCACTCAGTCCATAAAGGTTTACTAAGCACAAACCAAGTAATTAGGGTAATTAGCACAAACTAGGGGAGAGATTCATTAGTGTAAATTGAAATTACTACAGACGGTTTTTGTTTGAACAGCAATCTCCAGATTGGGGTTCTCATACCCCGAGGGGAACATGAATATTCTCCAAGAAGACCCAAGTTCTAGTGTGACCAATTGTCCCGGTTTTTCCAGAGCTGTCTTGGTTTTAGCACTAAAAGTCCCATGTTCCAGGAAGCCTCTCGATCCCTGAAGGCTGGATCTCAACTCACATATTTCCTCCTCCGTAAAACTGATGTGTCTGAGATCTTGCCTGGTTTTCCTTTCCCACCACCCACAAGTGCCCTTCTGTCACTTTATACAAGCCACGACTCTTACTCATTCCTAAATTTATCATGACTTGCCCTGGACTAAAAAAAAAAACCTCCAGGGGCACCTGGGTGGCTCAGTCGGTTGGGCAACCGACTTCGGCTCAGGTCATGATCTCGAGGTCCGTGAGTTCGAGCCCCGCGTCAGGCTCTGTGCTGAGCCTGTTTCAGATTCTGTGTCTCCCTCTCTCTGACCCTCCCCCGTTCATGCTTTGTCTCTCTCTGTCTCAAAAATAAATAAACGTTTTAAAAAAAAAAAAATTAAAAAAAAAAAAAAAACTCCAGGGCACCTGAAAAAAAGACTATCAGAAATATTGATATGGGCAAAGCCTCCTTTAATACAGGTATCATAGCCCCTTGGAAGGGCATCTAATCTTTCAGTTGTAGATTGTGATGGTTAATTTTATGTGTTAACTTGATTGGGCCATGGGGTGCCCATATATTTAGTTAAACATTAATGTGGGTGTGTCCGTGAGGGTGTTTCTGGCTGAGATTAATGTCTGAATCGGTAGACTGAGTGAAGCAGCTTGCCTCCCTGATGTGGGTGAGCCTCATGGATCATGGAAGGCCTGAGTAGAACAAAAGAGGCAGAATAAGGGAGAATTCACTCTCTCTGCCTGACTGTCTTCAAGCTGGGACATCAGTTTTCTCTTCCCTTTGGGCTCAGATTTGAACCGGAGCTTACACCATCTGCTCTCCTGGTTCTCAGGCCTTTGGACTTGGGGTAGCTATGCCATCGGCTCTCCTGATATCTAAATTGCAGACTGCAGACCTTCGGACTTCTCGGCCTCCATAGATACATGAACCAATTTCTTATAATATCTATATATCTATCACCGTAAATATATATAATCTATATGTCAATAAAAATAGATACCTTAAATGAAACCATTTTCTAGAGAAACACCGCTAGGATATATCTATATCTATCATCTATCTAGATGTAGATAGCATCAAAAAGAAAAACATGCTTAGATGTGATAGTTGCACAACCTGTGAGTAAACTAGAAAACAGCGAATTGCACACTTTAAATGGGTGGGCTGTATGGTATATGAGTTATATCTCATTAAAGCTGCTAAGAAAATAGTTATTAAACTATAGAAGTATATCCCAAATGGGGGAACCAATGTAGAGCACAAGCACTGCTCAGAAAGCAAAAGAAAATAGCAAATTGAAGGGAGAGCCTGGCCCACATAGGCTGTGTGGTTGGAGAGGACCCTGGATGTAGGAAGGGGTAGGAAATGTAAAGTATATGGGCAGAGAGCAGGGGGAGGATTGGGGCCTGAAAGGGAGACCGAGTGCCCCAAAGAATTTTGTCTGCTTCAGTTTTGTCAAGGACCAGCCTTTGACGATCTCTGAAAGAAGGCCCTAGAGCCTTGAGGAGGAGAGTGTATTATGTCAGCACCTGACCTTTGTGACATAGGCACTAGATGCCAGGGAGAACTTCCCCCAGGGAATGGGGTTCCTGGCTCCCAATGGGGGTGGCAACGCCACCCCTTAGACGAAGCCCGGTCTTCCACAGGCTTTCACCAGCTGGCCCCACTGGTATTGCTGTTTCTGGGTGTGCTCAGCCATCTCAGCCAGGACCAGGCTGAGCCAGAGGACATCAGCATTAGGGGTGACGAGGGGTCACGGAAACCAAAGTGGGCCGGAAACCAGGATGCTTGCAGAATCCTTGATTCAGGTTGAAGACAGCAAAAGCCTGTAACAGAAGACTTCCTCCTGGCTGAAGGAGCATTGAGGGCACGGCTCCAACAGAAATCTGAGTCAGAGTGAGTTTAGGGTGACAGATACTGGGGACAGAGGGGGGTGTATCCACCGTTTGGTGACTGTTCCTCTTTCTCCCAGGTTCCCTCAATTGCTGAAGTGCCTTGCGAAACAGCCTGGAGGAACCCTCATTGGTAAGAGCTCACATCACCAGAACACCCCCAATTTCTAGTCCCATCTCAGCAGCCATCCTTAAGCCCCCTCCTCCAACTCCATTCTACCTCCCACCTCCCTTCTTCTCCTCCTCGGCTCTCACTTTCCGTGGAGCATTTTTCCAGCTCTTGTGACCCCAAAGGTGACATGGATTCAGGGTCTTAGTAAATCAGCCTTCAGAGCCAGAAATGGACCAATTCTCCCAATATCTTAGGTTCTCGTTCTTTCTCTACAGGTCCCATGGGCTGTGTTCTTCCTCCCTGGCCCACCCAGATGATTACTGCTGCCCCTCAGCTCCCAAGAGGCAGCTCTGATTCTCTGTCCCCATATATCCCTCGTCAATGGCTGACTGCAAAGTGAGAGGCCAAGTTTAGATCCAAGTGCCTGCCTGAACCCTCGGAGAGCCTAGTGCTACAGGGCTGGGTGTCTCCTTGTCCTCAACCAACAGCAGCACCGACACCAGGCTGGAGTCACACTTGCGCACAGAAGGCCCTGATTTCTCCGCCAGGTCTGGCCTCAGAGATACTGTCCTGATTCTGCTAGGTCTCTAATCTCTGGTCTTGAGGCCCCAGTCCCTTCTGGATTCAAGGCAATGTTGCCTCAAAACAAGGACGAGGTGCTGCCACAGAACACAGCACCCCCTGGGCGCCCCCCTCAGGGCTCCTCACAACTTGTGGACTTGTCTTCTGGCAACCTGCAGCCTCTGCCTCCCCAGCCGTCGCTCCCTCCCTCTCACCCACCTTGCTCCCCTCCCCCACGGTCCCACTCTCCTGGCTCCCATTTCTACAACTCTGACTCAGGTTCTGACTTTGTCCTACATCCCTACTCTTCCTCCCTCCCAAGTTCCCCCACTTTCTTTCATCAGAATTACCTCTCTCTCTCCCTCACACGCTCTTCCTCTCCCACCGGCCAGCTATACCCCTCCCTTCCTCCTACTTCTTCCTCCTCTCCCACTCAGCTACAGAACGACTCTCTCCCCCACTCTCACCGTCTGTCTCCTTCCAACCCAGGGTACCACCCCAGCTCCACTGTCACTTCCCCGGCCCCCAGCCTTCCTTCTCCTGGGGTCCATGGGAAGAGGCAGACATGGCCCTGGCACCAGTACAGGGACACCGGGTCCCCTGGGGTGGTGGGGGGATGCGTGGCAAGCCAGAGGGACCCTGCAGAGTTCATGGACCCGGGAGCCCTGGCCCAGGCCCTAGTGGTCCATCTGGGGCACCGCCGCATTGCACACGACCTGCGGCTACTGCTTTTGCAGCACCTGTGGCTAGGCACAACTGGCCAGGCCCCAGTTGTAGAATATCCTATATGCCTGGTGTGTCTCAAGCCCCGCAGCCCCACGTGCCCCATCTCCAGGTACAAGACCGGACCCCGGCTGCTTGCCTTCCCCCAACTACTGCCCTGTGAGCAGGGCCAGGAATCCGGACCACTCCGCCTAGGCATTGGCTTCGGCCTCCGCCTGCCTCGGGGCCAGGCCAGGGCCTTGCACCTGTTGCCAGAAAGAAGGCCAGAGGAAGTAGGTCCACAGGGCAAGGCCGCTCAGGCCCCTGGGTATCAAACCTGGGCGTCCCAGGCCCCAGCAGCTCACGTACCGGTGGCTCAGGCGCGGGCAGATCCAGCCCGGGGCCCACCCTCCCCCACCAGGAGCCTCAGATCTACACACTCTATGCGCTTTTCAGGGCCTTTACCGCAGGCACCAAAACAGGCCACTGTCTCCCTGAAGCCCAGGCCGTCCTCTGCCCGAAAGAGTCCTGCCTCTTCAGAGCCCATTCTCCGAAAGTCGCCACTCCAGTTCCAGAGACAAGGAGGCTCCCTGGAGTACCTCCTCTGAACCCCACTGCCCCCACCAGGCTCCAGAACTCAGGGAGCCCCCGAGACTCCCTGAAGGGCTGGCTGGCCGGAGGTCAGGTGTGTTCTCCAGCCTTGAACCCTGGGAGCCCCTTATGGAGTCTGCTCTCTCCTGGCTGAAGAGGACGAAGGGCACCTGAGACCCCATTCAGCCTTCAGTGTATCCAATAAAGCCTGACCCTGCAGCACTTGTGTTTGCGTCCTGCACAGCAGACACAGTGGGTAGCTGAACCTACAGGGGGCCACAACTAAAGAAGGGGAGGGGGAGAGTCAAAGGAACCAGAGCGGCCGGGGAGAGTTGTTACCGTATATCTGAGGACGGCATGGGATCCATAAGGCATGAGCACCTGAGATACTCAGAGGGTTCTGCAAGGCTCTTCACACGTTTAATTCAGTTTGGTGGCACAGATAATGGCATCCCCAAAGATGGAGCCGTGGGCCCCTTCCTCGGAGTGCACATTAGTGTTGCAGGATTCTTTACCTCCACACCTGGGATTCATTGTCTCTCCGCTTCAAAGAATGAAGAGGTGGACACAAAATGAGTAGCAGGTAAAAGTGTATTCGAATTTAAGATCAGAAAGAAGAACAGTATGAAAGCTCTCTTTACAGAGAGGGGCCATTCGAAAGTGAATGTCCGTGGACTATAGGCAAGGGTCTTTCTTTTATAAGGTTCTGGTCACTGCCCCCCACCCCCCCTCCACACACACCCATTCCCTCCCCCCTTGTTCCTTCTCAGGTTTTACCCTTATTGGCTTGATAGCTCTAGGTGCTGGGTTGTCCATTCCTGATTGGCTTGTTTCCACTGTATGAGGTGTGGTCTATGGCCGTACCATTCCTTGTGGGCCATACATTTTATGGTCTACTTAGTTTAATCAGCTCTTTTGTCAAATTCCTGAAGGAAACCTGAGGGGGAGTAGATGGTGTCTGTTACATCCCTTTTTTGAAAATTATTTTTTAATTTACATCAAAGTTAGTTAGCATATGGTGCAACAATGATTTCAGGAGTAGATTCCTTAACACCCCTTAGCCATTTAACCCATCTCCCCACCACAACCCCTCCAGCAACGCTCTGTTTGTTCTCTATATTTAAGAGTCTCTTATGTTTTGTCCCCCTCCCTGTTTCTATATTATTGTTTGCTTCCCTTCCCTTATGTTCATCTGTTTTGTATCTTAAAGTCCTCATATGAGCGAAGTCATGATATTTGTCTGTCTCCAACTAATTTTGCTTAGTATAATACCCTCTAGTTCCATCCACATAGTTGTAAATGGCAAGATTTCATTCTTTTTGATTGCCGAGTAATACTCCATTGTATTACACCATACCACATCTTCTTTATCCATTCATCAGTCGGTGGACATTTGGACTCTTTCCATACTATGGTTATTGTTGACAGTGCTGCTATAAACATGGGGGTGCATGTGTCCCTTTGAAACAGCACACCTGTATCCCTTGGATAAATACTTAGTGGTGCAATTGCTGGGTCGTAGGGTAGTTCTATTCTTAATTTTTTGAGGAACCTCCATATTGCTTTCCAGAGTGGCTGCACCAGTTTGCATTCCCACTAGCAGTGCAAAAGAGATCCTCTTTCTCCGCATCCTCGCCAACATCTGTTGTTGCCCGAGTTGTTCATGTTAGCCATTCTGACAGGTGTGAGGTGGTATCTCATTGTGGTTTTGGTTTGTATTTCCCTGATGATGAGTGATGTTGAGCATTTTTTCACGTGTCGGTTGGCCACCTGGATGTCTTCTTTGGAGAAGTGTCTACTGTCTTTTGCCCATTTCTTCACTGGACTATTTGTTTTTGGGTGTTGAGTTTGATAAGTTCTTTGTAGATTTTGGATACTAACCCTTTATCTGATATGTCGTTTGCAAATATCTTCTCCCATTCCTTCGATTGCCTTGTAGTTTTGCTGATTGTTTCCTTCACTGTGCAGAAGTTTTTGACTTTGATGAGGTCCCAATAGTTAATTTTTGCTTTGGTTTCCCTTGCCTCCAGAGACGTGGTAAGAAGTTGCTGCGGCCAAGGTCAAAGAGGTTTTTGCCTGCTTTCTCCTCTAGGGTTTTGATGGCTTCCTGTCTTACCTTTAGGTCTTTCATCTGTTTTGAGTTTATTTTTGTGTGTGGTGTAAGAAAGTGGTCCGGGTTCATTTTTCTGCATGTCGCTGTCTGGTTTTTCTAGCACCATTTCCTGAAGTGACTGTCTTTATTCCATTGGATATTCTTTCCTGCTTTGTCAAAGATTTGTTGGCCATATGTTTGTGGGTCCATTTCTGGCTTCTCTATTCTGTTCCATTGATCTGAGTGTCTGTTCTTGTGCCAGTACCATACTGTCTTGATAATTACAGCTTTGTAATACAGCTTGAAGTCCACAATTGTGATGCCTCCTGCTTTGGTTTTCTTTTTCAAGATTGTTTTGGCTATTTGGGGTCTTTTCTGGTCCCATACAAATTTTAGGATTGTTTGTTCTAGCTGTGTGAAGAACTGTGGTATTATTTTGATAGGGATTGCATTGAGTATGTAGATTGCTTTGGGTAGTATTGACATTTTAACAATATTTGTTCTTCCTATCCAGGAGCATAGAATCTTTTTCCCGTGTGTGTGTGTCTTCTTCAATTTCTTTCATAAGCTTTCTATAGTTTTCAGTGTATAGATTTTTCACCTCTTTGGTTAGATTTATTCCTAGGTATTTTATGGGTTTTGGTGCAATTGTAAATTGGATCAATTCTTTGATTTCTCTTTCTATTGCTTCATTTTGTGTATAGGAATTGCTTCATATTGGTGTATAGGAATACAACCGTTTTCTGTGCATTGATTTTATATCCTGCAACTTTGCTGAATTCACGGATCAGTTCTAGCAGTTTTTTGGTGGAATCTTTTGGGTTTTCCATACAGGGTATTATGTCATCTGCAAAGAGTGAAAGTTTGACCTCCTCCTGGCTGATTTGGATGTCTTTTATTTCTTTTTTTTTTTTTTAATTTTTTTTTTAACGTTTATTTATTTTTTTGGGACAGAGAGAGACAGAGCATGAACAGGGGAGGGGCAGAGAGAGAGGGAGACACAGAATCAGAAACAGGCTCCAGGCTCTGAGCCATCAGCCCAGAGCCCGACGCGGGGCTCGAACTCATGGACCGCGAGATCGTGACCTGGCTGAAGTCGGACGCTTAACCGACTGCGCCACCCAGGCGCCCCTGTCTTTTATTTCTTTGTGTTGTCTGATTGCTGAAGCTAAGGCTTCCAATACTATCTTGAATAACAGTGTCGAGAGTGGACATCCCTGTCTTGTTCCCGGCCTTAGGGGGAAACCTCTCTGTTTTTGTCCATTAAGGATGATATTAGTGGTGGGTCTTTCATACATGGCTTTTATGATCTTGAGGTATGATCCTTCTATCCCTACTTTCTTGAGGGTTTTTATCAAGAAAGGATACTGTATCTTGTGAAATGCTTTCTCTGCATCTATTGAGAGGGTCATGTGGTTCTTGTCCTTTCTTTTATTGATGTGATGTATCACGTTGATTGTTTTGTGGATATTGAGTCAGCCCTGAATCCCAGGTATAAATCCCACTTGGTCATGATGAATAATTTAAAAAAAATTTTTTTTTTAATATTTATTGATTTTTGAGAGAGAGACAGAGCATGAATGGGGGAGGGGCAGAGAGAGAGGGAGACACAGAATCGGAAGCAGGCTCCAGGCTCTGAGCCATCAGCCCAGAGCCTGACGCGGGGCTCGAACTCACGGACCGCGAGATCGTGACCTGAGCTGAAGTCGGACACTCAACTGACTGAGTCACCCAGGCGCCCTGAATAATTTTTTTAATGTATTGTTGGATTGTCCGTTACATTCTTGAGAGGAATCTTAGGCCCAACGGGGTTTACTGTGGTCAGACCCTCCCAGCATTGATCCAAAATATATGTTTTTCCCCATCCAGGGACCTCAGGTCCTAATCTTTCTCTCTCTGCCTATTTTATCCTATCTTTCCCTATCATATTAGGTTAACAAGGATTCATACTGGAGTACCTGGGTAGCTCAGTTGGTTAAGCATCCAATTTCAGCTCAGGTCATGATCTCATAGTTCATGGGTTCAAGCCCCAGATAGGGCCCTGCACTGACAGCTCAGAGCCTCAAGCCTGCTTCAGATTCTGTGTTTCCTTCTCTCTCTGCCCCTCCCCCACTTGTGCTTGCTCTCTCTCTCTCAAAAATAAAGCAATAAACATCACACACACACACACACACACACACACACACACACAGATGCTTAGGCAGCCAGGGGAGCAGCAGGAGGTGTCTCCTTGAAGGGATGGACATTCCTAGGGTTCACTTGAAGAGAAACATTAAGAGTCCTCATGTTGAAGATCAGAAACCCAAGTGGCCCCCCTCAGGAAGGTGGGATGTCAGGCAGAAAAGAGACTTACCCTGCCTGGGAGCCAAGTCACCTCCCTCTGAGGGTGTCAGCGTAGAGCAATCCCCATTCCCAAACTCCTGAATGCATGTGAGAAGTAAGGCCACTGACCCAATCAAAGGAGGGACATGGAGACTCGGAGCACAGTGAAGCGAGGATTTAATCAACATTCTTGCAAGAGCGGGTGTGTGATGGACGGGCACATCTGGTGTAGTTACAGCAAACAATTTATTTCCTAGCGTGCAAGTCCCTCCTGATTCCTCATTGGCGGAGTACAATGGAGGTTACAGCCTTACCCAGACTTCGCCTATGCCCACGTAAGGCAAAAAGTAGTCTGTTTGGAACACATGTACATTTCCTGAGGTGACGCAGAGACTTTCAGTCCCTCCTTTGTTCTTTGGCGCACGCTCTCGCAAAGCCTTTGGAAAATAAGCCCGCAAAACGGAGAGGGTTAGAAGAATCAGGAAGTGAAGTGTCTAAGGGTTTGAGGCTCCATGGGGGGAGGGGGAGTTCATATAGATTTCCAATAGGTTGTAAGCCTACTGGTAACTAGACAGCTCAGCTCTTATTTGGTATTTCTGAAAATGAATCGTCTCCCTTGTCACAGAGCTGCAAGCATGGCCGGTTCTCACATCTGCCAACCACAGAGCTGAGGTGATTTGTTAAGGTAAATAGTGGTTTCCTCACACTAGGAAGCAGTGGATTCCGAGTTTGAAGCCAATTTTACTTTAAAGTCCATGCTGCCTCCATGAAAAGGCAAGAGACACAGTTCAAGTTCCCAAATGTGAAATTTCCAAAGTGTGTGACCTGGGACACATCACTTCCTCTCTGGGGTAAAAGGTAAAGGCTGCACTTGTGTATTGGTGTAGGAAACAAAGGCAAAAGAAAAAATTAAATTTCCTTACAACTGACAATTCCTTGAGACAGGCAGAGTGACCTCTGGAAACTCGACTGCCTCCATGTTGACACTTTGCTAAGGGCAAAAGTCAGTCTTAGCTTAACATTGTCCCGCCCCTCTAGGATCCTGTAGATCTAATTTAACATATAAAAATTCCTTTGGAATCTTTATCTCTACCCCTCAAGATACATGTTGGCAATCATGCTCGAAGCATATATGGCCCACTGGTATACATCTGAAGCATCTGTGACTGAGGTTTTACTGACCAGTAATAAATGACGCTTTCCTAACAACAGCTAGCCCCCTCAGGGTCCTGGAAACCTAGCTTCCAAAATACCTTGGAGGCTTACGCTGTCCCTAACCGCCTCTCAACTTGAAAGTGTATCATCCATCAGTCACCCCTCACAGCGCCAGTGCAGCTCTTTCTGCCC